CGGTTACTTAAGAACCGAAATTTTTAGTTTTTTTCAGGGTTTTTAAAAGAGATGAAAATAATCGGTTATTAATTTTGTTTCAGAAAGGTGAGCATATATTATGAAAGTCTGGAGTCACTTTGAATACCCATAAAATACTTATTTGCTCGCGCAAACAAAAAAAAAGTTCCGGTTTATAAGAATAGTAGTTTATTTTAATGTATCTTTTTAGATGTACACTGATGACGACGATGGGCAGTATATTAAAAAAAATGTATGAAATTAAAAGACGGTAGCCATGTGACCGGAATTAAAACCCCACTCCGAAAGGCGGCTTGATATAAATATTTGAAAGGAAACATATTCGGCAGAAATATGCCTAGTTCGGTAAAAATTCAAGTCTGAAAAGGTCGTGCAGGTATATGAACATAGTCCCACGAAACCTCCGTCTCAAGCGCCTCGTCCACAAAGAGGAAGGGCATAAGATCGGGGCACAGAGAGATAAACGTTTGGTAAATGCCTGAATTCACGATTGCCAGGACATGATAAGAAGAAAAGAGCTAGACCTCTTCGCGCGCCGGCAACTCGAGCACCGTATTTAGGACGAGTTCCCGGCTTTGCAGGTTTTTGCCACGAATTTCGCATCCACTGCTTCGAATAAACGACAGGCATCTCAAGATAAGAAGATTTCAAAGCTAACAAAAAAAGGACGATTTAAACTGAGGAGCCAATGACACCAACTTCGTCAAGAAGCTCTCCTCTCGACAACTCTCATCATGCGAGATTGAAGTCTTGGCTAAAGGCCACGGATTTAACATGACCACGACACGGCCGCCTCTACCGACAAAGGTCTCGGCAATAAGGACGGCATCACGCGCCTAGATCCTAGCGTCCAGGATGGAAAGCGTCTTAAAGCGCTTGGCATCCTTTCGAAGCTCCCACAACGGCAGCGACACAACCTCCCGACGGAAGAAGTTACAGCATTTCGCAAACTTCGCGAAGATACGGAGATTCTGCTTTTTGCCTGCCAACAAAAGAAAATCGACCGTCGTCCTTGGGCGGGAGATATACGAGGAAAAGATACGGCACTTCTTGGGAGCCGTGCTGAGGTAAAACGTAAGAAAGACTCTACGCTGCAGGTTCAAAGGAACTTGAACAAAACGCTAGCAGAAATTATTTAGAACTTGTCTGAATCAAAGAACCTTCACCTGCGGCTCATTTTTAGGAATGGCACCGCTCCAGGATTTTACGGCTTTCTAAAGATCCACAAACCTAACGTGCCTCTGCGACCTATTGTGGACTTCACAACCTCGTCACTACGGGCGCTATTCAGTTACCTTCACCGGACTTTGGCTCCCCTCGCTGGAAACACGTCGACCCATCTAGAAAATGTCGGCCCCTTCGTGGAGCGCGCCTCGCATATACAACTTAGCGACGGCGACATGTCTTTCGACGGGGTGTCCTTCTTCATGAATGAGCCAGTTTCCCTTGCTATTGCTGCAGCCTATGAAGCCCTCAAAAAAGACAGCTACTCGACCACAAGTACCAACCTTAGGGTGGATTAGCTGGGCCGTCTGCTCGAGTTTTGTCTCGGCAGCACATACTTTTCCTTTAAAGGAAAGCTTTTTAAGAAGGTCCGTGGCACTGCAATGAGTGTGGCTATCTTGATCACAACGGAAAACCTCACGCTAGAAGCAATCAAACCGAGAGCGCTGAGGTCTTTTCCCAACAACCCAAAATATTCATACGCTACGTCGATCAATGTTTCTTCATTCTATAAGACGTGACTAACGCTTTGGCACACTTTAACTCCATCAAGCTGGCCACTTAATTTAATGTGGAATGCGAGACGAAAGCATTTCGCCGCCCCTTGAACTGCTGGTGAACCGACGATGGCAAGATTCGAAGTTTACACTGTATATAAAACCAACGCACACCGGACGCTATAACGATATTGACTCCAATCACCCAACGAGTCATAAGGCGTCACTGGTTTCGACACTCGTGCGTAGAGCAAGGACTATCTGCTCGTCGGAAACCGGTAAAAGAATGAAAAGGAGACTATAATTTCACACCTAAAGAAAAATGTCTACTCTATTAGCTTCAAATAAACGCATCGCCCGACGCCAAGATCTCATCGGACGAAACCAGATGCCACTAGAAAAAAGACAGTCCCATTGAGTCGCGAGCATCAGCGTCCCCTACGTAAAGGGGGGCAGAGAAGAGGTGGTACGAGTACTGGAAAAAGGAGGAGTTTTGGTGGCCCACAAGCGCGCGTTCACAATTGGAAGGTTTATGCCAAGCCTCAAAAATCGTCTACCCTAAAAAATAGCACAGGGTGTGGTTTACACCATCCCATGCGCAGAGTGCCCCGCCACCTACATCGGTGAGACAAAGACATTTTCCGAGCGAATCCACCAACACATTTACGACTTGCGGAAGTTAGACATTTAGTTTGACAGCGAGCGCAGCGCCATCGCCGAACATTTTGATACCCTAGCCAGGGGTGGCCAAGCTGCAGCTCCGGAGCCGCATGGGCTCTTTTTGTGTTAAAGTGCGGCTCGCCGGCTCCCTACCCAACCCCCCCCCCCCCCCCCTCCACACAGACACACTCTCCCAGTCACACGATGCAGCTGCCCAGAGATAAATAGAACGCATTTTAATTGAAAGATAGGTTGCGGTGGTGGTAGTCTTTTGCAACTGCTGCCTTACGTACAGTTGGACTGCTTTTGACTCGGATAGATCGAAACTAGTTCGAGTTTTGTTTATTGCTCTAAAAAGATACATAGCAGTTATAATGTCGTTTTACCTACTTGCATATATATCACACTAAAAATATAGAAGCTCTCTTTTGAATAGTTTGAGATTGAGAGTGATCTAAATATGCCAGACGTGGACATTCGTCAAAACCTCGTCGTTCTTTCCCGCTGCTTTGCGATTTTGTTTCTCTCAGAAACTAAACATGTCAGGAAATTAAAATAAAAAGGAATGTTCTGCTTGGAACATGCGTCACAGAATATAAAAATTTGAAGCAAAATAACAAATATGACTGGTGCAGTTGTGTTTTTTTATTTTGCTTCAAATTTTCATATTTTGTGGCGCATGCTTCAAGAAGAACAATACTTTTCATTTCAACGTCCCGACATGTTTAGCTTCTGAGATAAAAAAATCTTAATGCAGCGGGAAATAACGACGAGGTTTTGACGCCCATAGAGATATTCGTCATTTTTCAAATGGTTCTATTGTATTTTCGAAGACGATGAGGTTATTAGCTGTCTGCTGTTCCGCGTTCTTTCAGTCACCATAGAAGAAGATACTGAGCTGGTTTCGAAACGTACGTTGTTTTTTTTTTCGAGATGCGGTTGGAGCTACATTTTTCGGAATTTCACATTAATATTTTACCAACCATGTTCGAGAAATGAAACTGGTAACTGTATAAAGTGGAGCGAGGTATCCCGATGACTTAGGCCATATCTGGGCACAATCAGTCTTGTACACGTTACTAAAATAAAGTAATCGATTACAATTACTATTACTCTTGGCTAAAAAGTATTCGATTAGATTACCTGATTACTCGACGGCAAAAGTAATTGGACATTACTTAAAGAAGTAATCGTTATTTTTTCGATTACTTTATTGTGTGAAGACACATCTTTAGCGCTCATAACAATGAACTACTTCCAACCTATATTTCACATTTGCGCAAGTATTGAAGAAGAAAAACTGGCTCCCTCTTCGTGGTCGTTGCACCTTCACAATGCGGACACAAGCATAGAATTGCGTTTGAAGGCGTTTAATGATTTGGGCGTTCGCCAGTGTGTGTGTGTGTGTGGGAGGGGGGGGGGGGGAGCGGAGGGGGTTCTAAAGGGTTGCCGCTCAAAGTTTGCGTCGCTCATTTAAGTGAGCTCATCGCTCATGGAAGTGAGCTCGCATGTTATACAAAAGAGCAGCAGCTCCAGGATTTGAAACGGATCATGTGTAGTATCCATTAGCGGAAGAGATCGCCCCGACCACTTCTCAACTCGAAACATTGCTTGTGACAAAGAACACGTAGGGGAAATGAGGAATATTTCAACTGCCTTTGTTATATTTTGCATCCGCTTTAGGCATTCTTCGGTTCTGGTTCTCCTACGGGCTGCGAGTAGGTATCCTAAGCAGCATTTTTTTTAATTTCTGTGTGTGTGTGCGTGAGGGGGCTAGTTTGAACGAAGGCCCCACAAAGCTACATTCTGCTTCCTCAAAGTTCGCCCTGAATGGCCTTTGTCACGCACCGTAGCTTTCCTGGGGCTTCCCACTCCCAGTCCCAGCTCGGGAAAAAAAAAAAACGTACATTCCACAGAAACTGTACATAGAAAGAGATTGACATCGTTTCCTACAGCTCCGCAAAAATCTTCCTTTTTTTTCCGTTCGAATAAAAAAAGCAAATTTTATTTTTGTCATTTCATAAAAAAAGGAGTGTGCCCGGGGGGGGGGGGGGGGGGGGAGGTCCTGTGGACAAATTGTAACGGTTACAAGTAATTTTATTTCTTCGAAAAGTAATCAGATTACTCTTGTGATTACTGCCTAATAAAAGTAATCAACTGATTACAAAATTACTTGAAAAAGTAATCGATTACAAGTAATTTGATTACTTGTGATGCGTACGGTACAAGACTGGGCACAATGTATCCGAGAGTAGTGCTGCTGATAGGCTGTGGCGAGTGTCAAACGGATACAATAAACGAAGTTCACTCGACAGGGATCTTATTAAGCCAGGGGTACGTCTCAAACTCGTTAGTGTGCGGGGACCAGACAGCCCACCCCCGAGATATCAAGGGCAAACGCAGGGCAGGGGGCGGGGGGAGGTTGCGAACCCACCCTCACTTGGTCGTCTGCTAAGTAGCGCTGGGAGTAGAGAACGACCACCGCTCACAGGTTAGAGCCAGACCTGTTCACGATATGACCACCCTTTTCAAGCTGTCAAGCGAATGACTTTCTGGGGCAGAGTGCACGGAGCAAGTGCGAGCCGCGGGAGGACGCACGTTTGGAGCCGTCCACGTCGACGCAGGCCGAGCCCCGGCAGCACTGGTCGCTGGCCAGGCACTTGCGGCCGAAGCAATCCAGCTCGTCCTCCTGCGACAGCCCGGTTTCCAGCACCACCTCGCCGCCCTTCTTCTTCTCGCCCTGCGAGAACGCAAGGGGAAGAGTTTAGCGGCACTGCCAACACCGCCTAGATGACGGAGAAGGCGGATGCACTACTCCACCCAGAGGAGACCAGCGTGGGGCAGAGAAAAGACGGGAGTGCTGCTTCAGAGTTCGGATACGGAGAATCACACGTGCGGAAGCCGAACAATGATGCAGCACTCGTGTGCAATTCGTGGCCCGCGCTGGACTTTTTGTAGTTGACGTAAGAGGCGCAGAACTAAGGCACAGTCATATAGTAATTGACTTACAATCGTTAGAGTCGAGGCTCAAGGATCTATCTTGTGGAAGCAGTAAATCACACGTTCACAAAAATGCACGCGCAAGTGAGCATTTCCGACTGCGTGAATCATTGAAAGCTATTCTGGCCATGAAAGCGTTTTCTAACCAATTATGCCACGAGGTCGATAAATAGATAAATAAAAGCTAAATTTTTCAATGGAATGTCACTTCAACTTCGTGCTTTTTAGTTAGGTTGAGCCAGGAAGCGTGAGTACGACTTCAACGAACCAATAAGCCAACTGCATTACCTTCATCCGCTATGGGACGCCACAGACGTAGTGTGGTTGAAGTCCCTTCATGTTGCAAAAGTAGCGCAAGGTGTGTCAATGCACGAGGCACGTGCAACGTGCAGCCTTTGGGGAGATTATGGCGGCACAGCGCAGCACTGGAACACTGCAGCACTGGGCTAGGTTTACGACGCCATGTTCCTCCCAGAAGTGGCGCGTGGCACGTGTCTCGGGCATTTCCACAACAAATGAATGGCGCCAATTTTCCCAGGATAAAAAAACTTTAGGTGTGGTCCCCTGGGATCATACTGTGGATTTAGCGAAGGCCCACATTTTGGTGGTGACCTAAAAGCTCGTTATCTCCGCGAATATTATTCCTTGTTGCCTCCGTGAATATTATTCCATGTATTAGTGATCACCAGGCGGTTGTTGCAGGCATAGAAACAAAATTTACACGATCGTAGTCATGTGAATAAAGGACAATATTTTTTTTTACGTGACATGTGATCATTTTAGCATCGCTGCGTAGTTTCTTAACCAGTTGCCTGTTTTTAATTGTCTTTCTGAGGAGAACAGTAATATTTAATCATGCTGCATGTTTAAACAGAAAGTGCTTGATCTTACTAATATTTATGTTCCAAGTATATACTCTTATAAACTGAAAAAAAACGGAAGTAGCCATGGGTGACCTCCTGTATTTTGAGAATAATTTCTAAAAAACGAAGGCAAACGTTTGTGCGGTTAAAAAAGGAGAAATCAGTTAAAGAGATTATCTGATGTAACACGTGAATACAAATTGAGCATAAAGAGCGGAAAACAAGAAAGCTTCAAGAGGCCTAATAACATAATTAAAACCAAACTCCAAATGTTGTGGTAATGTATGAAAGGAATCAAATCAGATTATGTAGGAATAAATTAAATTGTTCACGATAATCAATTTTTTTTATATAAGACTGAGAAAGCAACGTATTTGAAGAATTTCTTTCACTCCGTTTTTAGCTCAAACATTCTCGCAATCTTTTAACCCTTTTAAGTACTGCACTGCTGATGAAGCCATGTGTAATATAGTGTACGTGGAATTGAAGCGCCTTTAAGGAACATCGATGAAACAAAGGTTAAGAGGGTTCAGACGATATTTCTCCCCGCATACTGAAGCAATGGGTACGACCGCTTTCGCTTTATATTTATTTAATTTACGGCAAGTCACTATTAACGGGACAACTGCTAGATGAGTGGAAGGTCACCCACATTCTCCATATTCACAAGGGAGGTTCGAAAAAAGATATAGCAAATCATAGGCCTTTTTCACTAACATCAATTTCATGAAAATGATGGAACATATTTTATATACGGAGATAATGGGACGTACGACACATTTTTTTTTAAATAAAAGAACAACATGGTTTTAGAAAAGTTATCTTACACAACGCAACTCATCGAATTCTATCACAACTTGATATGACAGTTGATGAAGGAGGGCAAACAGATTGTATTGTTTTCTAGATTTTCATAAGGTGCTCGACGCGGTCACGCACCCGTCACTTTTCAATAAACCCGAAATGTTAAGGTACATTCGACTTTGTTAAATTGGATTGAACATTTTCTTTTTCAGCGTAGACTGTGTGTAATTTTGAATGGCAAAGATTTTAATTATGTTGACGTTACGTCGGGGCTTCCGCAGGGGTCTGTCCTGGGATCACACTTTTGTTGTTAATAATTATAATGATATTTTAGTAGGTATATTTCTTTCTGTATTCGGTTGTTCGCTTATGTTTGCGTTATGCATAAAAAGCGTTTCAGAGTGAGAATAGCGTCCTTGAGTTAGAAATGACTTAGACCGTAAGTCATGTTTTAGACCGTGTGCCATGCTTATGCCATGTTTCAGCATGGCATAAGCCTAACACTAAAAATAACCTCTGTTCGTCTTAAACAGGTCATACGGGCCAATTTATAAAATGAATACGGCACTTCTCACACGAAGAGTAAGTATGATGATGTCGGGGTCCTTAAATACATTCATTAGCTTGACCATCTTCGTGCTCTTGCAAGTTCCGTTTTGCGCGATTGTCTTCTGGATTTAAGTATATTTCACTATTCCGCCATGCTAAGGAATTGAGCTGGTCAACAAAATATTTTAAAAAAGCAGGAATTTGAGGTTGGTGCTGTCCACCGTACTATTCCACTCGCTGTTTAAAACTTCGCAAAACTTCGAAATAACATGATGCTACCCATAATCTTAAACAATACCGAGACAAAAAAGCAGACAGGGCTATGAAGATTCAACTTCAACTTCAACTTTATTGTTTCTCTCCAGGCGAGAAGGGGAGGAGGAAGAAAAAAAAGCAGTCTGTTGTCGTTTGACGGAGTTTCTCCTTCCCAGCAGCAACGAGAGAAACTATCTTACATACTAGTGACCCGTAGAACAAGGTTTCCATAGGATCAAAACACACAACATTTATTTGGGTTTACTGGATTTCCGTTGTTCTTTCACTCTTGGGCTTCCCTTATACATTGTAAAACATTTTCAGGTAGTGTTCTATAGTAACTATAAAAGGGGATTGCCTGTGTAGTGTACGACTACACGAACCGCTAGCAGTTAGCGCCAAATCACCGCGAAGGGGTGATAGTCTCGTTTAAACAATTTGGTGAGAATACAAATGCTGCGCCGTTATTTGTTGCGTGGCATTCTTAACATTTAGGGAGGAGGATTAGCTGCTGTGTACAAGATGCCCTTTGAAGGCGCCTTTGTGAATATGAGTTACGACGGAGATGAAATCCAAGCCCTACACCACGCTCACAATCCTTCACGGATACCCTATTGTACGTCTTTTCATGCGGCAAAAACCAACGTGTGCTGAGGGAACAGCATTATCCCTGGATCCCATGATCTTTGGCTGAGTCTCTCTCGTACATGTCATGAGAGAAGTAAGTCGCTGAGGAAAGTGCGTGACAGCTTAGACGCTCATTACTCCATCAACTCGCGCACCCCTTCCAGAAATAATTCACTCGCCTTAATCCGCTCCCCGATACACGGGTGAGTGACTGCGTCGGAGATGGCGTGGTCGAAGCAATTAACTCCGCCTCGAAGTGGCACGTGGTGACTCGTGCCGGACCGATATTTTATAAGCTCGATGCAAAATAGCTCCTGGTCGTGACTAGGAGTAATTAATTTCTAATGTGCACGCTATTTTGGTAGTTTCAGCTGGCACATTGTTGGGGCAAAGTTCGCAGGTCTTACTCGTAAAAACGGCTATACACACGGCACGCAACCAGGACCCATACTAGCGTAATAAAGAGACGTACTACAATGAACTGTTTAAGTTTATTAAAAAAAAACAGATATAACAAATTATTCATAACTTCAGCGGTCATTGAAAGTCGAGAATTTGAACCCCGCGTACAGTGTGGTAAAAAAGTGCCCTGTATCGGTCAAGATTCAACGCACTATGTCATAAGTGTTCCTCGCTATGATTGATGCTCAGTAATGTAGAGCAGCTACACTAGACCCCTTGCAAAATGCGCAGCGCCGTCCGCGGTGCCAAAAAGAATGCCGGGAAGTCTAGGTACACAACCGATTGTAACAGGTGACGAAGGCGACGGAGAAAACGCGAGTGAGTTGGCGAGGACACTCGAAAAAACTGCGCTTCCCCCTTTCTCTCTCGCTCTCATCAGCCTTCCATACTATAACAAAGTAGGAAGCTAGGCTAGTTGGTGGAACTTGAACGCGGTGTGAGTGTAACAGCGCGCAACAACGAGGACTAAGTTAAGCAACGCACAGCATAGGACAAGTGCTGACTCCCAACTAAATGTTTTATAGTGAACTCAGAAACCGGGAAGGACATAAAAGGCACGCTCCACCACGCATGCGCCACCCAGACTGTCTCGTCAAAAAAGGCTTCATGAATCAACGCATCACTAAAAAGAAAATTTACTTTTCCGATAATGCCACCGATGGCTTGCTGACACATCGCGCTCTTTAATTTGCAATGTGGAAGACGTTTATCGTTTCTGTCGTCGCCTTATATCGGTGCCTTCATGATATAGCGGTGTCATCGAAGGATGCTTTGCACGTGCATATCTCATAGTGCAACGAAAGAGGGCCACCGACCGTACCTCTCGAGGAATAGTCGTGCTCGCTGAGCGAGTCATGTAAGCACCTACCTGTAGGCTGATACAAGAGAGGGGTATCCTGTATACAGCACCCGAAACCACAGACAAAAAAGATTTGGCATGCGTTTTGCTACAGATGTTTCTTAGTAGCCTCTCTGCCTTCGGGTTGACCCTCGAACGAATTTGACTGGTTCTATTGTGAGGGGGGCGGGGGGGGGGGGGGGGGGGGGGAGGGGATGGGGGGCGGAAAACACAACCGGGATACCATACCGGCGCATGCGTGGTTGAGCGTGCCTTTTATATTCTCTGGTTTCTGTTTTCACTATTAAACATTTCCTTGCCGAGTTGTGTGTTCTTTTTCAT